TGTGATTTGGACGGAACGTGATGAGACGGCGACCGATTCGATTTGCGTGGCCCACGCCCACGCATCAAAGGGGCCGGCAACGTGGTCCACAAGCAAAGGATTACGAGAATACCCCTGCGAGCCTTTTTCCCGGCCGATAAATCCAGGCTGGTGAGTCGGTGGAGGGGCACGATCCAACGTGAAATCCAACGCGTAGACCGCATTCACGCGTGCATACGCGAGGGCGGGGGAGGGGTGGGTTTAGAAAAGGTGAAAGGTGAGGGAAGAGGAATAAAAATGTCCTTCTCCTTGTTCGAGCGACACGTGACCCCGTGCCCTTCGAATCCAGTCAAACGTGCAATTTACGAGAGCTCGAAACTCGATTTCAGCGCCATTGTGCGCCGCTTTTTTACTGGGCTTTCAGCATTTTTTGTCCCGGTTTATTAAATTTAGAACAGAAAAGTTGTTCGATATATTCGACCGGAAGCTGTCGAAAAAATTTATGACTTTCCCTAGGTTTTCCTTCTCACTCGTGACAATAATGGAGGCTCTTAATCCAATATATAAAAATTAAAAAATTTAAAGAATTATATATATTTATATTATTAATTATGCATATATTTGGTAACAACGAATTCTTCGATTATAGACTTTTGACTGAAAATCAAGCTCAACGTTTCCAAATTTTTAATCGCTCGAACTTTCGTCGTACCATTGGTAAATTATCGAACAATTGTCACGATATTTTAACAACGATTTTATTTAAAACCGAGAATCCATAAAGCGAATTATTCGAAGCTGGATCCAATCTCGACGACAATCAATTCCAAGCTTTCGCGAATTCCGCTGTACAACAACCGCTTAATCGCGTCCATCGAGCGTTAATCATTCCCTCGCGGCGTATGGAGACACCTACGCGCGGGATCAACGCCGCGATCGGGTAAACCGATAAATCAAGCATCCAGAAATTTATGATTGCCACGTACGTGTATAGTATGCCCGTATACGTGTACGTGTACGGGACACGCGTCCGGTGGAAGCAGGCAAAAGGTCAGCCGCCATGCGACCAATAAATTTAATTAACGGATAGGCGAAAGCGTGGACCATGAACAGATGCAAATTGTTGCCGATCGTTTCATTCTCTGACCACCTTTCGGTCTCCTGAGCGCACGCGAGTGGAATATTCATTACGGAAATAGTATAAATTTTCAACGAGAGATCATTTACATATAATTTACATATATTTATTTTTATAACAATATCCATATTCCTCGAGCGATTATCGAAAACACGTTAATAACAAATGACATCGAACAATCGTTCGTTTCATAACACTATTTCAAACACATTACTTTAATCATTTGTTTACAATTTATATATATAATATATATATATATACACATTACCTATTCAAAATTTTCATTTCTCGTCGAGACTTCTTACAAAGCACACGTATACGCGTATACACATCGTATACTTGTGAAAATGAAGAAAAAGCGAGCCGCCACGAGACCGATAAATTTAATTAACGGATAGGCGAAGCGGAGGCAGGC